GTGATAGGGTTCTTGTTTCATACAGGACCAGGTTAGAAAGGCAGAGGCCTGCCTTTTTGCTCAGTGGTTAGAGCATCAGCCCACGGACAGAAGATTCTTGGGTTCGATTCCAGTCAAGGGCACGTACCTCGGTTGCGGTTTGTCCCGGCCCAGGCCCTGGTCGGGGTCGTGCAGGAGGCAGGCAGCCAGTCTATGTGACCCTCTCATGTCGATGCTTCTCTCTCTCTCCCTCTTTCTCCCTCCCTCCCACTCTATCTGAAGATAAATAGAAAAATATTTGGGTGAGGATTTTTAAAAAAAGGCAGAGACCTGAAGGATGTGAGAGAATAAAGAATGTTCCAGGAGGCAGGAGAAAGCAAGGTAGGAGGCTGTTTTGTGTAGCTCAGGGAACAGCAAGAAGGCCAGTGTAGCTAGAGTGGACAGACTGAAGGGAAAGGTAGGAACTGAGGCAGAGAGGGTCAGGTTTCCAGACCAGTGAGAACTTTAGCCGTTGCTCTGAGGTTTGAGCAGAGAAGTGACACATTTGATTTTCACTGAAAAAGGTTTACTGTGACTACTGTGTAGAGAAGAAACTATAGGGGGCCCATTCTTAAAACAATGTTGTTCTAAATAGAGAGAGAAAGTCAGACCCTACAAATGCAGGCTGGTATTCAAATTGGCTGGGTACAAGAATTAAAGAAGAAAAGTTGTAGGTCAGAGTCGGCCACACCCTACACATGAATTAGTAGAGCAATGCCATGTGAGCAACCCAAAAGCCAGCTGGTCCCGGAGTATGGCAGGATCACTGACTCTGTGCCATGTTTGGCACATAGGGGGCCTCCTGCCACGCAGCTGCCTTATGGTTACGGAACGTCCCCGCCCTGCAGCCCAGGCCGCACATGGGCCTGTTCCCTCCACAGCGCTTTCTCCCCGTGTTTTCCCTTCTCCTCTGGCTGTGCCTTTTATGCTGTCATTAATTCAGCAACTACCAGGTATAAAACATAATGAAGAGTGACATGGGAGACTTTCTGAGAAGAACCTGAGGCTTGGATCTTTTGTTAACTGCCCCTGAAGAGCTGCATCTACTGTTGGCACAAATCTCTCTCGTGAGCCCCTTCTGGTTTATCCTCTAACTGAAGGCTTTTCTCCACCTCTCACAGCTGCACTCTTGGTGGAGTTCCCATTTATGAAGCTGTATGGGACACACACCCTGCCAGACCAAGGTCTTCTCTGTAGCCGAGAATCACTGGAGAGAACTTCCAGTCAAGATGGCAGTGTAGGCAAACGCGGTATCGCCTCCTCCCACAACCACATCAAAATTACAACTAAACTACAACACAACCATCAACCCTAACCGCCTGAAATCGAGCTGAACGGAAGTCCTACAACTACAGAATTAAAGAAGCCGCCACATCGAGACTGGTAGGAGGGGCGGAGGCGCGGACGGGGTGGTCCCACACCCACGTGGAGTGAAAAAAAAATCAAGAGGACACCTCAGCTGGGAAGGTCCTCCCTGAGGAGTGAGGGGTCCCTGTCCCACACCAGGTGCCCTGCTCAGGGTTCCAGTTCCAGGAAGAGAATCCCCATAACTTCTGACTGTAAAAACCAGCGGGAACTGAGGCTGAGGGAGGCTGAGGCTGCTGGAGCCCCAGGCAGCTCCTCTTAAAGGGCCCGCATATGGACTTACTCGGACTTGCTCCCTCTGAGCTCGGAGAGGAGGCAGCTTGAGGGGCGCCAGAGACATACACGGAAAAACTGAGCTGTTTGGCCTCAGGACGAAGGCTGGAGAGGTGGCTTTCTTCTGGACAGACATGCTGGTGGAGGCTGATGCTGCTTTGGTGAGCCCTTCCCTGGGGCAGCAGACGGCTGCCACATCTGGGACTCCAGCAACCTGGCTCACACTGCTTGCCCCACCCTGGTGATTCCCTGAGGCCCTGCCCTACCCAACTTTCGAGCCCACCCAAGCTGTTTCCAAAGGCTTTACCATAAGATTGGCCTGTCTTACCTGTCAGCATCTGGTCTCAGTGAGCCCCATACCTCTCATTAAGTGGTCCCAGGCCTGGCACTAGAAGCAGCCAGCCTTGGTTCACAATTTGGCTTTTCTTGGGCACCTCCAAGCACAGCACAAGCAGCAGCCATGGGCAGATCACTTTGTAGCTTATGCTGGGTGGCCCCGGATCGAACACAGGCAGTGGCTGACCTTGCCCCAGAGCCAGCACACCCAGTGGACAGCTTCAGACCATGTCGAAGCACTGCCACCCTACCACCTCCACAAGTGACACACTCAATGAGCAGACTCAGTGGGTACCAGAGCCCTGACAAAGTAAATCTTGCTCTATGTTGTTGGCCCCTGCACAGCTGATCCTCCAAGGTAGTCAGAGGCCAGTGGGCACAGCCAATCCTTGCAGCTGATCAGCTTGAGTAAATCCCTCCCACAGATGTACCAACAGCAATCAAGACTCAATTACAACAGAAGGGTGTACAGACCACACTAGGAGTACACCTCAAGGGCCCATCTGGGGTGATCAGGGAGGCTGTGTTACTGGATCCTATAGGACACCTACAACAAGAGGCTACCCTACAAAGCCTAGGAGACATAGCAACTCTACCTAATACATAGAACCAATCACAGGGAAGCCGCCAAAATGAGGAGACAAAGAAACATGTCCCAAATGAAAGAAAAGAACAAAACTCCAAAAAAAGAATTAAACAAAATGGAGAAAAGCAATCAATCAGATGCAGAGTTCAAAACACTGGTTATAAATAAGGTTGCTCAAGGAACTTGGTGAGACATTCAAGGAACTTAGTGAGAACTTCAAGGAACTTAAGGAGACCTTCAAGGAACTTAGTTTATCAACAACATAAAAAAGGACCAGTCAGAAATGAAGGATGCACTAACTGAAATAAAGAATAATTTACAGCCCTGGCCAGTTTGGCTCAGCAGTTGGAGCATTGGCCTGCGGACCAGAGAGTTCCAGGTTTGGTTCCCCCTAGGGGCATGTATCGAAGAAGAAGAAGAAGAAGAAGAAGAAGAAGAAGAAGAAGAAGAAGAAGAAGAAGAAGAAGAAGAAGAAGAAGAAGGTTGCAGTTTGTCCCCGGCCTGGTCGGTTGTGCGGGTGGCAGCCACTCGATGTGTTCCTTTCACATCGATGTTTCTCTCTCTCTCTCTGTTCCTCTCTCCCTCCCACTCTACCTGAACAAAAAAACCGGAAAAATGTCCTCGGGTGAGGATAAAAAAAAAAAAAAAAAAAGAAGAAGAAGAAGAAGAAGAAGAAGAAGAAGAAGAAGAAGAAGAAGGCGGAGGCGGAGGAGGCGGAGGAGGAGGAGGAGAAGAAGAAGAAGAAGAAGAAGAAGAAGAAGAAGAAGAAGAAGAAGAAGAAGAATTATTTACAGAGAATCAATAGGAGATTAGGTAAAGCCAAGAAGTGAACCATCGATTTGGAATATAAGGAAGCAAAAAACAACCAATCAGAAGAGGAAAAAAAAATAAAAATAAAAATAAATGGGGACAGTGTAAGGAGCCTCTGAGACAACCGTAAGCATGCCAACATTCGCATCACAGGGGTGCCAGAAGGAGAAGAGAGAGAACAAGAAATTGAAAACCTATTTGAAACAATAATGACGAAACTTCCCTAACTTGGCAAAGAAAACAGACATACAAGTCCAGGAAGCACAACAAGTCCCAAACAAGATGAACACAAAGAGGTCCACACCAAGACACATCATCATCAGAATGTTTAAATACAAAGAGAGAATCTTAAAATCAACAAGAGAAAAGCAGTTCGTTACCTACAAAGGAGCTCCCATAAGACTGTCAGCTGATTTCTCAAAAGAAGCTTTGCAGGCCAGAAGGGAGTGGCAAGAGATATTCAAGGTAATGAAAAGCAACGACCTACAACCAAGATTACCCTATCCTGCAAAGCTATCATTTAGAATCTATGAACATATCAAGAGTTTCCCAGACAAGAAAAAGCTAAAGGAGTTCATCACCACCAAACCAGTATTATATGAAATGTTGAAGGGTCTTCTTGAAGGAGAAGAACAAAAATATGAACGATAAAATGGTAATTAATATATATCTATCAACAATCGAATCTACAAACAAAATGAGCAAGCTGAACAGAAACAGACTCCTACTGGGTGGGGGCTGGGGTGATGGGTGAAAAAGATGAAGGAATTAAGAATTACAAATTGGCTTCCTTCCTTCCTATTTTCCTTCCTTCCTTCCTCCTTTTCTTTCTTTCTTTCTTTCTTTCTTTCTTTCTTTCTTTCTTTCTTTCTTTCTTTCTTTCTTTTTCTTTCTAAGTATGTTTTCACTGATTTTAGAGAGAGGAAGGGAAAGGGAGAGAGAGATAGAACATTGATGAGAGAGAAGCATTGATTGGCTGCCTCCTGCAGACCCCCTACTAGGGATTAAGCCCGCAACCTGGGTGTGTGGCCTGATCAGGAATGGAACTGGTGACCTGGTGTGTGGGATGACGCTCAACCACTGAGCCACACCGGCCAGGCCTGGTGGCTTTGGCTGATGCCTAATCCCACACTGGCCGTTTTCTGAAAGACTGAGTAAACTGTAAGCATTGCCTGCTGACGCCAGCCTGGGCCTGGACACTCCATGAATACTTTCTCTTGTAGCGATGGGTTATTCCAGCCAAAGACATTTCAAGTGCCTGTAACTGACTTGTATATATTTATAAAAACCTGTTCAGAAATTGGTCCAATGATGCACGTGCTTCACACTGGGTGCAGTCTGAACCCTGCAGCCTCCCCTGTGGACTTGGTGGGATGGTTCCATGTAGTGCCAGTGCCGATGCCTGATCTCCCCGTCCCAGGGCAGGCGATGCTGTCTTTACCAAGGTCTCAGGGCCAGTTCACTGCTGGTGGGGTTGAGGTTTGCTTTGGTCGAAACAGTCTGCACCTTTGATATGATATTGCATTTCCCAAGCCACCAATCCATTTTGTGGATTTTACGTGTCTGTGGCTTAATAATCATAGTAACAACAATAAAAAAAAATTACAAATTGGTGCTCACTTCGGCAGCACATATATTAAAATCAGAGCAATACAGAGAAGGTTAGCGTGGCCCCTGCACAAGAATGACACGGAAATTCGTGAAGTGTTCCATATTAAAAAAAAAAAAAAGTACAAATTGGTTGTTAGACTGATAAGCCTCAAAGGGAAGGGAGAAGGGAGGGTGGGATGAGATAAACCAAAGAACTTCTATGCATATATGCATAACCAATGGACACCGACAATAATGTGGGGAAGGCAGGAGGGGGGCAGGACTGGGGCGGAGGGGGTCAATGGGGAAAAAAAGGGAGGACGTCTGTAATATATTCAACAATAAAGATGAGTTTTAAAAAAAAAAGAATCTCTGGATTTGCTTTGGGCCAGGGCTGACATCCTAGGCTCAATTTGCACAGGAGTGAAGACACTCAGGGCCAAGGTTGAGCAGAATTGTGCAGGGGGTAGCGGGGTCTTCTTTAATTCCTCCTTCCTCGTCGCCAGAGCTCTTTCTTTCCTGTCAAGCTCAAGCCCAACCTGATCAGAGCAAGGCCAAGGCTTGAGGGCCCCACAGCCAATTCCTGTGCCCTTCCCTGGTGGGAAATGGAGAGTCCCTGTATGGCCTTGGGTCCAGAAAGAATGAAACCTTGAAGCAGGAGACCCTGGGTGGCTGAGCCAGGACAGAGTCCTGAGCCACTTCCTACCCTGCAGAGAGGTGGAAGTAAATTCCTTCTCCCTCTTCCCAAGCTTGGAAATGCCAACTTTGAGGATTCCCAAGGGGTCTGTGGCTCAGTATCCAGCCTACTGCTCCAGAGCCTCAGGCAGAGACCTGGGAACTAAACACAATCAGCCAAAGGCTCAGAGAGGCCAAAGTGACTGGGGATGAGGGTCTTGGCCCAGAAACTATGACAGACAACCCTGTGGAGTTCCTTGACCACTGACTACCTGAAACTAGAGAAAAGAGAGGACAAGGAGTCCAGGCCCAAAAACACTCTGCCAGGTTCTTCCCCATTGTGCAATTTAATCCTCTTAATAACTCGTGAGGCGCCCGGCCACTCACGAGGTCTCTGGTTCGATTCCCAGTCAGGGCACATGCCCAGGTTATGGGCCTGATCCCCAGTGGGGGGCATGCAGGAGGCAGCCAGTCTATGTTCTCTCTCATCGATGTTTCTATCTGTCTCTCCCTCTCCCTTCCTTTTTTTCTAAAATTAATAAAGAAAAAAATATTTTTTAAAAAACTCATGAGGTAGTGACTACACCAGATTCAACAGATAAGAAAACTGAGTCTCAGAGAGGTTCTGCAAATTTCCCAAAGACACAAGCAAACTACAGACTCCAAAGCCTGCTCGGATACCCATGCTACCGGGGAAGGGCCCCCAGCAGCCCGTGCAGGGGCCTCAGACACTTGTGTGGAGCCTGTGGACAAACTCGGGCCTAAGTTGCATCTAAGGGAGGATAAGATGCTTACTGGAGAGTAGAATATCAAGTGATTTCACCCCCTCTTCAGGGGCCCCAGGCCTTCTGCCCTTCCCACCCTAGGGCCTGTCAGATCCCAAACCTATCTGATAATGGTATTAATTAGCATGAATTTATTCCAAAGGGAAGTGGGCCCAGCCCAGCTGGGGCTACCAGTGGCCTCTTTCCCACAACTGCTGGAGGCTTGTCTCAGGCTCTAGGGCTTTGGGCATCTCTCTCCCCCTCTCACCAACACTCCCTCTTTTCTTTGCGCCTCTGGAGTCTAGCATAAGGAACAGTCCTCAGCTCCCACCACAGTTCTGCAGCACCCCCACTCCCCCACTCCCTTCTCCCTGCCTGCCTCCTCCACTCCAGCATGGTGGTTTGGCGAGAGTAGCTTAAGATTTGAATTTCAGAACAAAGGTAGAAAACCAGGGCTCTGGTAGTCCAGTAGGGTCTGGGAGGGGCTCATAGCCCCCCGTCATGCGGAGCCGTCAGCTTCTTACTGAAGCTTTTCATCAGGCTTTTCCTGAGCTGCCCTAGATCCTAAATCCATGTGCTACTTGAAAAGTGATGCAGAAGCTGGAGAGAATGTAGTGGGGGTGGGGTGGTGTTCAAGGGTAACCTAATAAAGACAAGAGCCTCAAAATCAAATCTACATGGTGCTCTCTGTTGTACAGCAGGGTCAGGCTACCCTCATTCCCGCCCCAACACTTCGCTCTGGTGGGAGGAGACGCAGGGGTCACCACTAAATATTTGTGCAATACAAGTCAACTACCCCCGCTTTTTTTTTTTCAAATCCTCACCTGAGGATATTTTTCCATTTATCTTTAGAGTGGGAAGGAGAAAGAGAGAGAGAGAAAGAGATCGATGTGAGAGAGACACATCGACTGGTTGCCTCCTGCACAACCTGACCAGGGCTGGGGACCAAATCGCAGCCAAGGTACGTGCCCTTGACTGGAATCGAACCTCCGATTCCTCGGTCCTCAAGTCCATGCTCCCACCGCTGAGCCAAACCAGCCTGGGCAATTTTCCCCCTTTTTCTTCTAGCTTATCAGCACAGGGAGTCAGTGGTGGCTGAGGTGAAGAGAAGCCCATCTCCAAGGATGGAATTCTGACCCTTGGAATGGTCAGAGTGAAATGGTGTCAATCACTCTGATCGTATTCAGGACTGCTCCTGCTTTAGCACAACAGGATGCTGCAGGCAGGGACCCGCCGAGATTCCAGTGATCCAGAGAGTTCTCTCTGTAGGCACCTCACACTGGATCCTCAATCACTATTGGATCATGAAGCCAAGATCAGACCTGGAAGTGTGAAGGAGCCCCTTCCCCTGCCCCCAGCAACAAGGATCCCAGCAAGGCCAGCAGTCATTGCCTTGAAGTCAAGCTAGCAAATGACAGCCATTGCTCCTCCCATCCGTTGGGTGGGGCCAGGACAGCTCCAGAACTGAGGGCAGAGAAAGTGAAATGGTGTGTTAGGCAGGTATTTCTAACAGGGTGACAGAGCCACAAGGAAAAAGAGCAAGGAAGCTGGGACAAGTCTTCCAGGTAGGGAGAAAACTATGGGTATGACTAGGCTCCACAGACAGGGGCTGGCTGCCCACCTCTCCTAGTTCATATTCTCCAAGGGCAGGTTCAGGGAATCTGCATGGAAAGGTCTGTATTGAGGTAATATGTGCAGTGGTTAAAAAGTACAGGCTTTAGAGACCAAAGGAAGTACTCTAAAGACAAAACTTTACACTTAGTAGGTGTATGGCCTTAGGCAGTGGTTCTCAAAGTGTGGTCCAGCCCCCCTTTGTGTGGTCCAGCAGCATCAGCTTTACCTGGAAATGTACAGAAATGCAAATTCTTGGGCCCCACCCCAGATGTCTGAATCACACGCTGGAGGTGAGATCCTACACTGTATGTTGGATCAAGCTCTCCAGGTGATTCTGCAGTATACTCACTAATCTAGGACTTAGTTACCAACCATTGCAATGCAAAGTGTTTCCAGCAATAAAATGCAGAATAAAATGCAGATAATAGTGCCTACCTCATAGGGTTATTGTGAGGATTAAAAGAGACACTGAAAACATAGAGCTTAGCACGGGGCTTGGTACATAGTAAGCCTTCAGTGAATGTCAGTTATTAGTACTATTATCTCCCACCTAATCTGTAAAACAAAAAGAATCCAGAGCTAGCGTTGCCCTCTTCCTGGGCCACCTAGTCAGTGTCACTTGTGATGCACCCCAGTGCTGACAGGTAGATACTGGGTGCACCTCCTCCTGGGGGAGCAAGGGGTGTTCACTGTGTAGCCAGGGAGGCAGAGGCGCCAAGAGGTACCATGGTTCAGGACTCAGCTGGGAAATACCGCTGTGTGAAGGTGTCAGGTTGAAGCTTCCCCTTATATCTCCCACACCACGAACAGGGACATACTACTGCTCAGTCTTCACTGAAAGGGGAAATCGACCTCCACTTCTCTGTGTCTCACCACCACTGCAGATTCCAGGGTCGTTGGAAAGCTATGAATCCGATAATAGATTGGACAAGTAAATGTGCTTGTGCAGACAGAGACTTGTGCAAACACAGAGCTCATGAGGGGCTAGCCTCACCGTGTGAACGCCCTTCTTTCTCCACCTAACATTGTTCAGGGACACATTCTGGTCTCTATGGTTACCAAGAGCAGCCTTGCCCAGGAGGACCTGGAGTGTAAACAGCAGTAAGTGAGTCTGTGGTTGCTGTGTCAGGAAGGAGGCACAGCACAGGGGCAGGGGAGGAGACCCGGAGCAGCTGCTGACTCCCTGGGGCAGACAGAAAAGTCTCTTTACCTGAAGATGAATTTCACAGACACAGAAATCTCTCTGCATTCATTATTGGCACATGGAATTTTGAACACTCGCTCCCGTTTTTTTCCCCCAAAGATATCTTTTTTCATTTATTTATTTATTTTCTTTATTGATGTTAGAGAGAGAAGAAGGGGGAGGGAGAGATAGAAACACCAATGAGAGACAACATTGATTGGCTGCCTCCTGCATGCCCCCCACTGAGGATCAGGCCCACTACCCGGGCATGTGCCCTGACCAGGAATCGAACCGGCCACCTCTTTGTGCATGGGTCGACGCTCGACCACTGAGCCACACTGGCCAGGCAAAGATATCACTTTTTAAATATTTTTTTAAATTTTTCTGTTTTGATCAGACACAGCCAACTCAGTGTTAATCTGTCTTTAACACATGCCAATTTCCCCTCTAATAAGGAAGTTCTGTGATCATTAGCAATTGTAGCCGCAAGAGGTGAAATTCCTCCCCGGAAAATAAGATGGGTGAACTACTATGTCCAGAGTGAACAGCAGAAATGAAGACGCTTAAAGCCAAATGTCTTGTATTCACATACATCTAATAACTGTAGCTTCACCACTAGGTCTCGACCGGCTGCCTCCTCTTCATGCAGCTTCCAGCAGGGATGTGGGTAATGATCACAATGTGCTGTACCCTCAGGTAATCTTTTTGTACAAATATAAATCATTATTCTGAGTACTAGTGTGGGATTTAGAAACAATCGGGTTTGTTTCTTCATATCTGATGTTCCAGATGACTGGCCTTGACTCTCAGCCTCTCCAAGCCCCAGCTCCTCTTTCTGCTGTAGGGCCAGCCCGCAGTGCTGGAGAATCTCGGGGTTCCAACCTCACCTTCTG